TCTCCTACGCTTCCTGGCCCGAGCCGTCCCCTCTCTTACCTGGATCACCACCAGCCCTCCACTCCGGGCTTCCACCCTTCCCTCTCCCCGCGGCCAGCAGGAGCCTCAGTCCCACCTGCTCAGACCCTCTCCCGCGTGCTCCTCACCGTGATCTGGAACCATCTTACGTCGCCTACCTTCCCAGACCCCGTTGTCCCCACCGCCTGCCAGGCTTACTGGCCTCTACCTCCCCCGCCCCGCCCCCGCCAGCGCTGTCCCCAGCTGGTTCCTTCTTGTTCTTGGGGCCTCAGCTCCACTGTGACCTCGGTTGTCTCCTCCTTAGACGAATTTCCTTTCCCGTCCATCTGAATAAGCTTCTCTAGGGGATCCTGGTTCGTTCGCGTATTTTGTTTCCTCGGTACCTGTCACAGGGAGTGTTTGTGTCGCTTGTGAACCTGGCACTTTGTCCTTTCACACGGCTACCAGTGTATGCTCCCCTCCCGCCGCGTCTGGGGAGCTGTCGTGGATCCGACCAAGTTCTGTGTGCCCTGGAGGCTACGCTCAAACGGAGACAGACAGACAGACAGTAAGACAAATAAAGAGCAAATATAGGGTCAGGTAATGAACATGCTGTGAAGGGAAACAGAGCAAGCGCGTTGACACAGCCGAGGCAGAAACAGGCACTGGAGGATCCGGAAGGATGAGCTCCTGGAAAGAAAGCATCACAAATAGTGGGCAATAATAATAATAATAATGGGCCATTGGTGCTTTGTTCAAATCGGCCTTGAGGAAATAAAGTATTTCTTTAGAAAACGAATTGTCATCCGTGGCCCGTGGCACACGCCCTGAGGGGATGGAAAGTTACGTGCGCCAGTGAAACCATCAACTAGGATAGAATTCCCTGCGGATCGGGTCAGAATGGCCGAGTCCAAAAGTACAGGGAGAAACTCCACGGGACGATTGATGGGCTGCATGCGACTTCTTCCTGGGGGATCAAGAGAAAATCAGGAAATGAAGAAGTAGAGAAATTGAGGGAAATACTGGGTATAAATGAGAATAATGGAAAGGCTGATAATACCAATATGCCACATGCCCTCAACGGCAAAGCTCCTCTTTGCTTGCATTTTAATGTTTTTTGAAACCAGAATGTTTTTCATTCACCGGGTACGCGCAACGTGGTCATTAAAAGCGTCGAATCAGTGGTGTAGCTGACGACCAATCCTCTTACAAACAAAATGCGATTATTTTAAGTTCATAGAAATTAATATGAACATATAAAGTTCTCAGTAGAAAATACTTCATTTAACAACTATTTGAGTGTTTGTGGTGTGGTGAGGTGGTAGGTGTAGACTAGTAAACAGGATAGACAAAAACCCTTGCTTTCAGGTGCCTCCTCTAGGCCATTCGTGGCTTGAGGCCCCGTATACTTACATCCAATCTAAGATCAATTGGGTTATTTAAGGCGCACCCAGGAGCTCAGTGGTTGAGCGTCCACCTTGGGCCCAGGGCGTGACCCGGGGTCCCGGGATCGAGTCCCGCGTCGGGCTCCCTGCATGGAGCCTGCGGCTCCCTCTGCCTGTGTCTCTCCCTCTCTGTGTGTCTCAGGAGTAAATAAGTAAAATCTTTTTAAAAATCAGGTTATTTCAGCGAGAATAAGCACGTTGGCCAACAGCACTCAGCAGTTAAGTGATAGAAGCAGCTCAGGTCTGCGTGGCTCTAAACCCTGCGTGCTTCCCCCAAATTACCATGATTGTGGAGCTAAGTGGACTGTTCACACTCAGTCTTGCTGCCAGAGCCGCCGTTCCCCGTGTCCCCCCCCCCCCCGACCCGCCTCAGCCCTGGGTTAGGACTCTGTCCGCGAACTGCTGGTGGAAGTAGGAAGCGTCGCAGCGAGCGCCCCAGCCAGGGCTGAGGTCTTTTTAGCCAAGAGTAACGTTCCGCCAGCAAGATCCAGGAAAGGTCTAATCCTACGTTATTGAGGTGCCCTCCTGTCTGCTTTTTAAACCTGCGCTAAATAATATACATCCCTTAGATTTCAACAGACCTGTTGGCAATAATAAATAAATAACCAATCAGCAGCCAGATTTTGGGGTTGGGACAGGAAGGCAAGAGAATAAGCTCTGCACTGGCCTCAGTGTCTGCGAGAGACACGCTGGAAGCTGTGCTAAGTTGGGGTCCCCGGCGCTGAAGTGCGCGGGGGAATCCTGGGGCACGTGGTGCAGGGAAGGCCAACGGGTGCGGGGGGAGCTGAGCGAGGAGCTGGTGTCCACAGGCCGCAAGCGCCCACCTGAGCCCACGGGGAGCTCTGGGGCCTGGGTCGCAGCAGAGCAGCCCGGCCCCGGGGAGCGGATCCTCTACACCCCTCTGTCCGCCAGCCCTTGGCTGGAGCCTTGGGGTCAGGGGTCCCCTAACGAGCCCGAAGTGCCTGGGGACAGCTTCCCCTGAGGAGGAGGCAGGTGTGCACCAACAGGCCTCTGCGGGGAAAAGGCCTGGGAGGGACGCTCGCAGCCCAAGTCCAAATACGTTACTTTGGAACATGATCAAGTGAGAGATTTTGACACAAAACAGGACCGTCTTCTTAGATGTGTCTGCTGAACACGGGATTTATTAACAAGAAGCTTTTTTTTTTCCTTTTTAAAAAGATTTTGTTTATTTATTCCCGAGAGATACAGAGAGAGAGGCAGAGACCCAGGCAGAGGGAGAAGCAGGCTCCATGCAGGGAGCCCGACGTGGGACTCGATACCGGGACCCCGGGGTCACGCCCTGGGCCCAAGCAGCTCCACCGCTGAGCTCCCCGGGGGTCCCAATCAAGGAGCTTCTTGATTCTTATTTTGCTTTAGGGTGTTACAGTATTAGATCAGCCGGGCTAGAGGGAAAATGTTTTTCTGAGGAAGGCGTCAGGGCAGGTACGCTCCGCAAAGGCTGCAACACTTCTTATGGAAATTTTTAAGGTATTAATTGGACAAAAAGGAAAGAGGATTAAACATATAATCGGAAACAATGGTCAAAAACTAGCTTATATAATACCAACTTTGTCAGAAGAATGATACCAAATTCCTGCAGCTGTTAGATAATTTTTCTTTTACATTTTCCTAAGACCGTTTCACACGTCTGTATTTTACTATAAATACCTTTTTTCTAACGGTGATTTGCATAGGACGTTCAACTATATAATGATGGATACGCTGTTATTATATATTTGTCAGAGCACCTAGATGTACGACCCAAGAGGGATTGCGAACCGTGAGCTTTGAGCAATAAAGATGCATCGCTGTAGGCTCATTGACTGAAAATGTACCCCCGGGGCACCTGGGAGGCTCGGTCGGCTAAGCATCTGCTTTCAGCTCAGGCTGAGACCCAGGGTCCTGGGATCGAGTCCCACATCAGCCTCCCTTCTCCATGGAGAGCCTGCCTCTGCTCCTCTCTCTCTGTCTCCCATGAATAAATAAATAAAATCTTTAGAAAAAAACATGGACCACTGGGGCAGGGGTTATCGATAGTGGGATAGTGGGGCCGGGGGAGTCCAGCAGTTGCTCCATTCTGCCCCATTGTGTGGCTCTAAAAACTGAAGTCGTGTTTTACGCTGCTCTCAGCATGTCGGTACTAATCCCAATGCTGCGGGGTGCTCACGTGGGCCGCGCCGCGGTGAGCCTCCCACGGACATCCCCCCTTTCAGAATTGATGTTACTACTGGGCTGACCCTTGTGGCTCTTACTATGATTGCAAGACGCCCTGCAGCAACGGCCGTCAGGAAACTTGGAAAAAATAAAGGTTCATTACTTACAAGACCTGGAAGTGGCACCGTACACCTGGGGTTACAGCAGTGAGGTGGGGGGGGGGGGCTGAGAGCACACGCGCACAGGCCGGAGAGCCTGCTCGGGGGTCAAGGGTGGGGACCCAGAGTTTCGCAGGCTTACTCTTTATTAGTGAGTTTAGGACATAAGAGCAGGAATTTAAAACATGGGGAAGAGAAATGACAAGTGGCCCAAATGGCCAGTTATGATGATACCAGTCAAGAGCTCCAAAACCAAGGAGGTCCGGCGGCGGCGGGGGAGGTAGCCCGGCCCTTCCTGTAGTCGAGGGCCTGGCCGTGGTTGGTTCATTCAGGATCGTTGTCTTGAAAGTCGATGCCGCCCTCGGGTGTCACCTGGGCCGCGCCTGCCCCGTGCCTACGGCACGTCTGCTTCTGAAGGTCTGTGACTACACAGAAAGCCGATTCTCCTCCTTAATCGGCTTCCGGTTCCTAAGGAACAGCTGATGTCCTGTGACATCAGAAAAAAAAAAATCCTCTCCACCCAGACATCCATTGCCACCATCTGTGCTATAATCTGTCGAGCAATCAGAATATTCCGCGACCACAACCTCCTGAGCAAGCATCGTCCGCAAACAGTGTATTTGGTTAAAGGCTTTCTTTTCATACTTGTTTGCACAGAGCTGAGGAACACATTTCAAGTTAAAATACAGCAAGAACTGGGTAAACAGCACCCGCTATATAATGTGTTCCTCCAGCACTTTGCTCATAGAACCCACTCTGCCGTGAAGGGGCCACGTAACGCACACGGGCCGTGGCGGCGTGGGGCGCACTCGTCCCCGTGCACACATGCCCCTTCCTTCAAGAAAACGAGAAGCCGTCACCCACCCCGTGCAAGGCGGCGGACCCATTTCCAGAATGCCCGTTGCTGTTACATAAACTCAGCCTACAAGTAGAATCAACATGTTTTGCTTTTAACCAAAACTTCCTACAATGACTTTGGTCTGAACATAAAATGCCTGTTGCGTTTTTCCTCTACTACCTGAGCCCCAGCGGGCAGGTGTCTCCCCTACAAGGAGCTGTTTGCACCCGAAGCTAATATGGGTGAAAATGAGAGCGAATGCCCGTTATCAAATCAGAGTGAGCGTCACCCTATACGCTGCTTAGCGTCTCCGTAGAAACCTACCCGCTGGGGCTTCCTTGGGGGTGTGAGTCCCCCGAGGTGCGCCCACACTTCTGATGCTGTTTGTGGGTTGTCTCTCCCCCACAGGCCTTGAACCGGGGCATCGCTGCTGTCAAGGAGGATGCAGTGGAGATGCTGGCCAGCTACGGGCTGGCGTACTCGCTGATGAAGTTCTTCACGGGTCCCATGAGCGACTTTAAGAACGTGGGCCTGGTGTTTGTGAACAGCAAGCGGGACAGGACCAAGGCCGTCCTGTGCATGGTGGTGGCCGGCGCCGTCGCTGCCGTCTTCCACACCCTCATCGGTAAGGCTGCTGAGCGTTTGGGAGGCGCCAGCCCGCGTCCTCCCTGTTCCTTTCCATCCGCTCCAACGTGTCTCTTGTAACAAGGGATTTCTTCCGTGATTATTGAGACATTTGTCATGAACACTCCAAGGGATGAAGGGACCGGGTTTGTGCCCCTTAGCGCAAGTAGAGGGAATGTGTTTTCCCCGGGAAGCCCTAGTTTTAATTCTTTGACTCCCAAGCCTGTGGCAGAGAGGATGTGATCTCAGGAAGGTCGACAGGGTGGCCCGGGCACCCTACAGACGCGCATTCCTGCACACGCTCCGTCTTAAAAACCAAGATAGCCTGGTGGTGATTAGGGTTAGTGCTTATCCACTGAATCAAATGACAGATGGCTTTATGTAATCAAATTAACTTATTTCAGGGGCTCACTAGTCTGTTTTATTCAAAGACCAGACTAAACCCTGGGGCAAAGCATGATTTCCATGGAAAAATAAGAAAGCTGTATCACACCTGCGGTGACTAGCGTAGAGTTTCTCCAGGACTTTGGAAAAGGACTTCCTCTGGAGCTTCAGCCCTGCTCCTCCCAAACGTAAACGGGGTGAGACCGTTTTGGTTTTCCCTTTGAATGTGACACCGACTTTGGTGCTGAGAACACCGTGAGGCCATGAGAGGATGCCGCTCACGGGCCAGGTTTTCAGCCCAAGTGTTGATACCGGTCATTTAATTTGGGCTCAGAGCTTCAGGGCCCGGGGTTGAGAGGAGATGCTCTCCTCCTTCCTTCCCCTCGTGCCCTGAATACTAACTTGTGGGTGTGCTTTGAAGGAACACCCTGCAGCTAGATTTGATCTGGGCCATTTTCAAAGATGGTAGATGACTTAGAGAAAATCGATGTACAACGAGTAGGTCTCGATAAATTTTCGTTGAAAAATGGGTGAATTAGTTCCCTCTTGCTACCAGTCTTTATTTGGATTTCTAAATAAGCCTAACTTTATTATATATAAAGTTATTATATATATAATTTTTATATATTTTATATAATATATATGTATAATAAGCCTAACGAAAACATTCTGTGTTTTCGTCATCGTTGAATTAGACTTTGGGACTAAGAGTTAATTTCGAGCTATCAGTAATCACAGAAGAGAAGAGCTGAGTATCCTGGGTCATTGAAACTGGTGTGAGGAACCCGTGGCCACTGAGATAAAAATTATCATTTTTCATGTTAAATCTAAAATTTCCCTTTTTTTTTAAGATTTTATTTATTTATTCATGAGAGACACAGAGAGAGAGGCAGAGACACAGGCAGAGGGAGAAGCAGGCTCCATGCCAGGAGCCCAACGTGGGACTCGATCCCGGGACTCCAGGATCACACCCTGGGCCCAAGGCAGGCGCCAAACCGCTGAGCCACCCAGGCATCCCCTAAAATTTCCCATTTTAAAAGAGAACGATAAAATCTTCAGTTGGAGTCAGGATGGTTCTGTAGCCCAGATAGACTTAGCAGTTGTCTGGAGTTGACGCTGGCAGTTCTGTTGGACTCACAGACTTGGAGGTCTAGGAGATCCACCGACCCAGAAGTGCGTGTCTATTCTGCGTCCACCAGAGCCTCGCTCTAGACGCCCAAGTTGCAGGAGCCTTGGGAGTATTTCTAGCTTTGGGTTCTTGCTCTTTGTTGGGCAGCCGCCAGTAATTGTCTCATTTTAGCCAAATTGTGGCCACCACTGTTATCATGGGCTCATCTGTGAGACACCACTTTTTTTAAATTGCAGGGCACAGGGTTTGCCACCAACTAGACCTTAATTTAGGCCAGTGGTCAGGATGTAGGTGTTCTCCAACTCCCCCCGTTAATTAATCTATAAAAGAGGAAACCTTGCTGACCGTGTATTTGGTTGAGTCCAAGGTCATCGCACCGCATGAAGCCAGCATTGCCCGACCACCTAACTCACGCAGGCGGAGAAGCCACTGCTGTGGCTGTTGCATTTCTCTGCACAGCTCATTCTCGACAGTGAGCTGCAAGGCCTCTCCCGTGTCCAGAGCCGCTTGGGCAGACAGTGCAGCTCAGGCGAGCCAGCTCCGCTGCTCCTACGGGGAGGAGCTGAAGCAGCTGCTAGAATGCATCCGTCTGCCCGTCTTCCCTTCTCAGTACATTTTGATATGGTCAGGGGTGCTAGGAAGTTTCAGCATAGTCTCAAAATGGGTCGCCACGTAACAAACCACCCCAGGACTCAGTGACCCAAAGCACAGCGTTTATTCTTCCTCACCAGACGGGCCAGCGAGTGGCCCTTTGGGCTCAGTGTGCTCACGCCTCTTTGGTCAGCTGAGAGCCAGGAGGCGGCTCGTGGTGGGCTCACGGGGCGGTCGTCAGCCAGCAGTGGGCTGGTCCAGATGGCCTGTGCTGGGACGGCGGGGCTCTCCTCCGCCAGCCTGAGCTTGTGTGGACCACACAGCTCTGCCCATACCCCAAGTGAGAAGATAGAGGCCCACAAGGCCTTCTGAGGCCGAGAATTGGAAGTGGCCACCATCACTGCTATTGCACAGGTTCAGGGGGGCAGGGAAATAGACTCCAGCTTTTCCCCAGAGGAACTACAAAGTCATCCTGCAGAGAAGGGATGTTAGGAGGAGAGAAGAAGCAGGGACATCTTGTAATCCGTCTACCCTGGTCTCCTCTTTGGGGGATGATGGCTTCATGCATCCATCCAATCAGTATGTGTTGAACACCTGCTGTGTGGCCAGCAGTGGGCTAGGTCCTGGGAATGCACATGTGAATAGGCATATTCTCCAGAGAGAAGCAAGATAATCACGCAGCAAATTATTCCAAATCCCATCCACCAGGACTTGACGCAGTGAGATCAAGCTTATGTTCTTGTGTTAACATCTCACATTTACGGTACTTTCGTACTGCAGGGGTTTACGCTGTCTCTCCAAGGCTGGGGCAGCGTCATACTCTCCACCCCAGGGTCTTCCAGATAAATGTTGCACGGTGCAGGCTGCCCAGGGGTGTGTCCTGTGTCCCCGCCCCAGCCCCATAACCGGCCCCGTCACGGCTGGGTTAGCTGGCATCGCGCCTGGTGCATAGAAGCCTTTCAGCCATACGTGTGGAAGCGATTTAAGTATCGGCCATACAAGCACACACACTTTGAAATGATTCATTAGAAGCACAGGGGTCAGGTTACCTGCCTCTGGAAAGCCCAGGGAACAGAACCTAGTGGCATAATCAGTTGTACTTGTGAGACGTTTACGCATGGGAACTTGGGGATTTGAATGAGAATAGGGCTTCTCGCATTGCCTCTTGGAAATACCCGCAGTATCCTGTTACCAGGGTGGGAGGAGGGCTGTCTCCTCAATTCCCATGAGAAAATAGGTGTCTTGACTTAATGATATTAATCTTGTCTTGATTAATGATATTTCGTGGCATTTTGCAACAGGCCTAGGAGCCACTGGTTGAACAAGTCTGAGAACCACTGATTCTGGAAAGAGTCTGTCGCCCTGATGGGCCCGGGGCAGGAGAGCTAGGGACTTGAGTGGCCCTTCTGGTTTCTTCTTGTTTGGGGCGGGGAGTCGAAAGCTGTCAGCCCCTAAAAGGTCAGGTCTGTGTCCTCCCGTCGCCACCTCGGCATGAGATCTGTTTACGTCTGTTCAAAAGCCTCGCTTAATTTTTCTTTTTAATGCTCTGCTCTTCGGAAGGAATATAAGGGTCGAGGTAGGGCAGTTGATAGGAGCCGATGGTCACTGAATGTTAGGGCAGCTAGCCCGCTAACTGTGGACTCCATGCAAAGCGCTCCCAACAGATCACCCCAGCCAACAGCGCGGGCCAGGAGCAGCTCAAGGGCACGGGGAGGGGGCATCGGGCGAGAAACAGCTGCTGGGATTTTACGTTCCCAGCTCTCAGGGCAGGAACAACCTTCGGGGTCATGATCACACTCCTCTCTTCCATAGGGGAGGAGGAAGTGGCCGAGACAGAATAAGAGGCCGAAAGAAGCCAAGGCAGCCCTGGGCCGGTCAGTCCCAGAGTCCCCTGGAGCCTGGAGGCAGGAGAGGCCAGAAGCAGCTGAAGAAAGCAAAGGGGTGGGGGTGGGGGGCCCGGAGGCCTGGCCGGCTGAGCCCGCCCCCCAGCCTGCCTTCAGACCGTCCTTCATTACCCCGCGCACAGTCGCTGTGTCCCCATTAGGACACTCTGGAGAGTGGGTGCCTGTAGGTCCATCTGCAGGAGAGGAGCTGACACCCATCTCTGCCCCCGCCCCCCAGGCCACACAGGCGACCGCAGGCCCTGCTCTCTGCTGCTCAGACTCCCAGGTCCAGGTCTCCCTCCCTCAGAAGCCACCGTGTGACCGTGCATTGTCCGAACCATGCATGGGGATGGGAGGGCTAGGACCGCGCAACCGCGTTGGCTCCCCCTCCAGAGGCTGGACAGTCAAGTCCATTGGGCCTCCCTCCGGGCCTCTGTAGTTTGCTGGCGACCTGGAGCCGTCCTGGGGGCCGAGGCATCAGCCCATCTCTGCCTTCACATCCCTGTGGCCTCCTGCCTGTGTGCGTGCACTTCTGTGTCCAAATCTCCCTTTTTCAGGACCGCAGTCATATTGGGGGGCCCACGCCATTCCGAATGCCCGCATCTTACCTAGCTACGTCTGCAGTGACCTGTCACTAGGAAGGTCACGGTCTGCAGCCCCTGGGATGGGCCCGACCTCTGAACTCCGAGGGAACGAGGCCCTCTGGGAGCTATTCCTGGCTGCCCGGCTCCTGCCCCGGCTCACCCGGCTCGGCTGCCTCAACCTGCCAGCTGCCTCCGTCCACCAGGGTGGGGCCAGGTTTAGGGCCGGGCCAGGCTGCTGCTGGCAGGTCCCAGCCCAGTGGCTGGTTCCCGGCTCAAGGGAACGAACATGCACATAAACGGCGGCAGCGAGGCACTCTGAGCCCAAGCCCCCAAGGTCCAGCGCCCCGGGGAAGCTGTCCCTGTGGTTGAACCATCCTGGCCTGGCGTTTCCGCGCGTCTGCACACCCCGCTTTGCATGCGCGTCCCACCTGGGGGAAGGCTCCCCCCTGCCCTCCACTGAGCCGCCCCGGGGTCAGACCCAGCCTTCTCTCCGCCCCTCTCCTCTAACCTGTGTGCCTCCGGGTCCCAGCGGGGACCTCACAGCGCTCTCCTTCCCTCCTTCTCCCCTCTTCCTGGGTCTTTGCTCTTTCTGCCCTGTGACACCCTCCCTCCCGGTTCTCTTCTTGCTGCCTCGGTGGCTCTACTGGCCCCAGGTGCTCCACACCTGACATGTTCGCCCACCTGGTGGCTCTCCTTAGGTTTTCACCTCTGCCCCTCCTGGAGGCCCCCCCCCGGTCCCACCTTGCTCTCGGGCTGTCTCACCCATGCCAGCCCCCTGCCCCTTGGAATCACCCACTTGTACCTCTTCCCCCTCTGGGATCCCCATATGTGCATCTGAATATCCTTGATATCATCCCAAAGACCTGACTTCATTCAAACTTCCTGTGGTGCAAGACTAATCCCCCAAAAGAGTAGAGGCTTATTTCTTTACCATCAGTTTCTAATTCTTATCAGTTCATACGGTTATAAACCATTTCCCAAACTTTGAAGTGGAGGGAGGGATCCTATGATTCACATAAAATGGGACTCTCACTGCATCCTATCTCCTTTATGAATTCAAAGCAGCTTCTGTAGTTGTCCACCCATTAGTGTCCATATTTATGAAAAAATGAACACAGCAGGCACACTGCTATTAAAGCACTGTGTAAAACACAGAGAAGCATGAAAGTCACTATTTTCTGATGTCGTCTAAACATCTGTCAATGAAGTAAAAATATCTTAATAGTGTGTTTCGTCTTTGCTAAGGGCACCTGTCAGGATGCCCGGCTAATACGCCGCAAACACCTTTCTCTCTCCCTTTCTATCTATTCGGTCAGTTCAGATTCATTCAGCCTGTTTCAGCTCGGTGCCCACACGCTCCTCCCTAAAGGTGAAACAAAAAATAGCAAGCCGCCAAAAGCTAGCTTTACATTTTTTCCTGAAAAGCCATGTTAACAGGGGCGCCGGGGTGGTGTAGTCCCTTAAGCATCTGACTCTTGATTGTGGCTCAGATCGTGACCTCAGGGTTGTGAGATTCCCCCCCACCCCCCAGTCAGGCTCTGAGCTCAGCAGGGAGTCTGCTTAGGGTTCTCTCTCTCCCTCCGCCCACCCCCCAGAAAAAAACTAAAAGAAAAACCATATTAACCTCTGGGAATTTTCTTAGTCAATAAGTAACGCTCCGTGTAAACATTCAGCTTCCAAATGATCCCTCAGGCATCCTTTCATGATCTCAAAACAATGGACGCGTCCACAATGCATAGTAATAGGAGATTATGTTGATGTTAAGTAAACCTCCAAAAAGGAATTCATCGCAACCATTAAAATGTGAAAGATGTCCTTGGAAATCATGGAAAGCTGTTCATGGTTGACGAAAGCAAGTATATACACAGTGTGATCCCGTTTTTATGTTAAAACACGTGTGTACCCCACATGCCCACGAGAGAACTGGACAGTTAAACCCAGGCCGTTAACCATGATCCCCTCTGGATAGAGGGGAGAGATTGTAGATGATTTTTTTTTCCTATTTGCTCATTGACATTTTCTAATTTTCTACAAAAAAAAAAAAAAAAAAAAACTACGTTTAACATTGTTTTTGTACTTTTGAGATGAAAAACTTAAAAGGTAACTTCTTCTAAATTTCGCCATGTTATGTTTTTGGGCCCTTTGCAGCTTATAGTGACTTAGGCTACTACATTATCAATAAACTGCACCATGTGGATGAGTCGGTGGGGAGCAAAACGAGAAGGGCCTTCCTGTATCTTGCTGCCTTCCCTTTTATGGATGCAATGGTGAGTAATCGGGGCACTTGAAAAAATTGTGGTGTGTAGGACAAAGATTGGCCACGTGAGCATCTGTGCACGTACAGTGCAGCGGCGTGGAGGGTCTTCCCTCGCCGGGAGTCTCGTGACACTGACACCACTTCCCCGTCCCCTCGCCCCGGCACCACTGCCCTACGGTCCGAGTCTGCAAATCCGACCATTCCAGGGATCTCCCGTAAGTGGGACGGGACGGCGTCTGTCTTTTTGTGGCCGGCCCATTAGCCTCCCGTAGTATCTTCAGGGTTCCTCGTGCTGCGGCCAAAGCCAGGATGTCTTAAGGCCGCGCCGTAGTCCCCCGTCTGTATAGGCCGCAGTGGACACCGGGTGACTTCCGCCTTTTGGCCTTTCTGATGACGCCTGTTAACCGACACGAGCATACAAATCCCGCCTTGAGTCTCCTGTCCTAATCCTTTGGGTGGATAGCCGGAAGTAGAATTGCAGGATTACAGAGTAATTCTATGTTTAGTGTCGGAGGGACCCTCAGACTGAGCTCCGCGGCAGCTGTGCCACGTCCCTTCCCGCACCAGCGCCGCGGAGGAGCCCAGCTGCCAGCGGCGTCAGGACAACCCTCCGTGGTCGCCACAAGTTCTGGTGGGAAGCAAGAGAGCCTACTTGAAAATTCTCCTTACATTTGAAGTTGTTTTCTGCTACATTCAGGATCAAGGGATCAGGACAGCTTTCCGATAAACTCACCGTTTGTGTGGTTTAAGCACCCAAAGCTTTTTAGAATAAGAATCTCTTGAAAATATTGGTAGGATTTCATTACGTTAATAACCAGCTTTAGTGCATTACTAAGGGCGGCTCGCGTCCAGAGCTTCGATGCTTTGTCATGATACTAGAGAGTTCTCGGAGAAGGCTGTTTCCTGTTCCTCTGGGTCATAGTCGTAAGGAGGCTTAGCAAACTCTATATACATGGATTTCCAGTAATGTGCAACGCTGGGAAGTAACCGCCTTCTCTGGGCTCCATTTCAAATTACCTGAGGAAGGAGACTTAAAAATAAGTTAATCTGCACGGTTTTTCACGCACACGCACCCTCGAATCTTACGTGCTGTGGACACGTGAGGTAAGCGGGCGTCTGCACCGAGGTGAGACCGCCGACGTGCGTCCCCGGAGGAAGGAGACCCTTGGCCTTAGCGGGCGTAACACTGCCTGTAGGTAGCGTAGGGACGTGGCCTCCCTGGATCGGACTCTTTCCACCAGTCTGCATGGGGGTCGTAAACCCTCAGTTTTGACCCAAAGGCTCGGATGCTCAGTTGGGGTCACGTCGGGTCGCGGTGCTCTTGGCCATTGGAGCACTGGTGCCCGGGTTTCCTTACTCATCACCAAGTAAGAAATTTACTCTGTATTTACTCTGGTAGCTGACACGTACTCTAAAATAGGAAAGAAAAAAGGCAGAGGGGCTGGATTTCTTAGAACCGGTCTCCCCAGGGGGCCCCATGCCCGCCTACGGGGCAGCACAGGGCTTTGAACCAGGAAGCTGAATGAGGCGACCTCTCTCACGTCCTCAAAGAGTAAAAGCCCAACTTCCTAGACAGAGTCCTGACCTTGCTGTAGCGCCCGCCCCCGTCCTTGGGGACTCCACCAACACACGGAAGATTGTGGTGACCCGGCGAATTCAGGGACTGAGGGTGGACCGTAAGCCCCACGTGCCCTAGCTCCCTTCTGCCCTATTAGTTTGCCGTGTGACTCGGTGTAACACTCCGTGTGATCCACACCTTCATCTTCCTGATTCATTTGCCAGCCGCCCCGAAGACCCAGCAGTAAGAGAGTGTTAATAAAAAAACAAAATATGAACCTCTCTGAGGAGCCAGGTCGCCTCCCCAGGCACAGGCACCTGCCGCCTACACCTGCCGCGGCCCTGAGACCTCGCGGGGAGAGAGGATATTTGAAAACCACAAGGCTTATCACCCCAATGGCTTCGGTCAACAGACGCAGCCCACAGGCCACTGTTTGCAAATGTTATCGGCAGTTTGCCTTTCTTTCCCCGCCTGGCAGCTCGCGGCCTGTGGGCTGCGGGACGGGGTAGCCGTGCAGCTGCCGTAGGAGGCCCGGACACAGACGTCCCCACGGTGTCGGGCGCGGCGGCCTCCAGCACGGTCCTCCCACGGACCCTGGCCCGGCCACGACACCCCCAGGGGCGCCGTCTGCTCCCCTTGGAGCACCTTCCCGGGCCCTCCCTCAGGTCAGATCCTGCCCCAACTTGGAGAGAAGGAGACAGTTGATGAGAACCCGTAATGCCGGTGGTAGCTCAGAGCCCTTGCCAGTCCCAGGCCCCCGGGGCGGGTGGGCAGGCGGGTGGACGTGCTCCCTCCATCCCTGGTCTGCGCCTCGCGTTCCGGCAGGAAGGCTGACACACACGCCGCTCTGCATACCGTTGGTACTAAATAAATACCTGCAGTCTCTGAGTCCACTTAAAGTTCTAGCGAGAACCTCCCCACCGGCCCAAGTCAGAGTCCGTGACCCCGCGGAAGGTCCCGGGGGGTAGAAGGTCCCTCTCAGGAACGCCCAGTAAATCACAACGACCGGAAGCCCTCCAATGCCCACGGCACCTCACGCCAAACTCTTTTCTTTCCGGAAGGCATGGACCCATGCTGGCATTCTCCTAAAACACAAATACAGCTTCCTGGTGGGATGTGCCTCGATCTCCGATGTCATAGCTCAGGTGAGTGTGGGCCGTGCGCCGGTCGGAGCTCCTCGGGCCTCAGCCCACCCCTGCCTCCCTGACACGCGCGCCCTGTGCCGGACGCGGGCGTCAAGGTTCGTTACACGAGTGAGAAAATGAGGCTTCTTGCAGTGGACCCGGGTCCAAGCCTGCGAGGAGGAGGTGGTAAGAATTCAGATGCAGCCTCGGAGGTTTTGGCTTTTCCTCTTACAAGCTCGCCCATGGGATGACGGCCGGGTCCCGGCTGGTGCGGGCTTGGTGGTCATGGGGTCGCGGGGCACCTGGCCGGGTGCACACTTGGGCCTCTGTGCCGCCCAACAATGCGCGGCCTGCCCCGCGGCTCTAGGGAGGGCTCTTAGGAATTATCCTTACGTGTTGTATCTCGTGTAGATGCCACACGGGGCTGCCGTTTAACCCGTCATTAACCCGTGTTTTAAGAGAGCCGGGAAGCTGGACGCTGCCCGGGAAGCAGGCCTGCGTCACACTTTCTTCCGAGCCCAGGTCCCCGGGGTCTGGCACCAGCCCTGGCTTTCCACGCTCCTTCCTTCTCCCTCCTTCCTCCTGCCACCGAGGACGCTGCGCGAAAACTTTCAGCGGAAAATCAGATTTAATCCCCACAACCCATAAATCAGCCGTAGCTCCCACAATCAGGGGTTCCGGAGAGCAGTGTCCTCGCCGAGGGGGAGGGAGTGGCGGGCTGATGTTTAAGCACCTTTTCCACTTCTCCGCTCCATCTTAGGGGCATTTCCACGCGCCTCTGCCGGTTTCCCCCAATTGCACGTGCTCGTCCTTTAGCCGCCTTTCTGAGATCACCCGCTGTCGGGCCGTCAGCACCTCCCTAAAGGCCAGCAAGTACATTTCCAAACAAATTGCAGTCGCTCCACGGGTCACCATTCGAAGTACTTCAGGTTAATTCCCGTGAACCCTGCGTGTCCGTGTTTGCGGGCATGCGCGGGCCTGCGCGCCGGCTGACCATGCAGCCCTGGGAATTTTATTTGTGAGTCACTAGGGATTTTTATCCCGATCTTACTTTCATTCGTCCTCCGAGAGATGAACTAAACTGCCTTATTCACTCAAGTCCCTTAATGTGACATTAAGGAGACGCCTCCCGGTTGCAGCATCGGCATCAGCGACTCAGTGCGCATTTATAGTTTTTCTTAAAGGCAAACGCAGAAAAACTCCGCTTTGCCTAAGATAAATACGACGAGCATCTAAGGGTAGAAGAGGAAACCATATCCGTGAAAACTGCTTTGCCGGGACGCCCACGGCCCTCGTCCTTCCCAGAGCTGGTCCCGGCCGGCGCCTGCCGAGCGCGGTGATCGCACCTGGCTGGTGGGAGGGGTGGGAGCCAGACCCGGAGCCGTCTGGCCTCGGCTATTCCTGGTGAAGGAGCTATTTTAAGCCTTGCAGTTGGAAAGTTTGGGGGAATAAATGCAATTTTTGTTCCTAAGTCTTCTGTTACCCCTGCCCCCACCCCTCCCAGCTTTTCCCGTTACCTGACGCATTTGTTAATTGCCGAATCCGGGAGTAAGTAGGTCTCGGGCCGAGTCCAGTAAACCCCGCACGGCAGAGGGAGGCGGCCGGCACGCTGCGCCCGGTAGAATGGAGATGGTTTTCTTTTTTTTCTTTTTTTTTTTTTAAGATTTTATTTATTTACTTATGAGAGACAGAGAGACAGACCCAGGCAGAGGGAGAAGCAGGCTCCACCCAGGGAGCCCGACGTGGGACTCGATCCCGGGACTCCAGGATCAGGGCCTGGGCTGAAGGCAGGCACTGCACCACCCGGGCTGCCCTGAAGATGGTTTCAGTGCCTTGAATTTCAGTGGCAACTCCCATTTTTTGAAGTTTTACTAGGCTGGGACGCCTGGGTGGCTCAGTCGGTTCAGTGTCCGAGTCTTGGTTTCTGCCCAGGTCGTGATCTCAGGGTCCTGGGATCGAGCCCCGCCGTGGGCTCCACGGGCGGAGGCAGCTTCTCCGTCCCCCTCTGCCCCCGGCCCTGCTCCGCCTGTGCTTGCGCTTGCTCTCCACCCCACCCCCATAAGTAAATGTATAAAATCTTTTAAAAAAGTTTTACTAGGCTAATTGATCTCTGGCCGCAGTACGAGAAGCCTGTCCTGGCCCGGTCCCCCGCGCTGCGCTTTCTGTGCCACCACCACTGCCAGCAGCGCTATGTCCCAACCTGGTGCCAAAGAGCTTACGAAAAATATTGCTGTTTCTGGTTTATTTCGCAATCAGCTGGTCAGCATTTGCTCAGTGGCAGCGTGAGAATTCTCCCGGCGCTGTTGGGCCTTCCCGGGACCTCCTGCCCTGCGAGGGCCCCAGGATGGGTCGCGTGATCCCGGGCCAGCAGTCCTGCCGCGCGCCGTGCATCCCCTTGCCCCTGCCCCGTGCCCCCAGCCCTCTGGCGGGATCCCGCCCCTGAGCCCCGTGCTGCACCCTTCTCCCCCGCGGGCGGCCACGTGCCCGTCACCCGCCCAGCGGACTCCAGGCGCCGAGTCAGTGGGTCCCTACCCTCCTCGCTCTGCCTGGTCACGGGCTCCCTTCCCACCTCTGTGGGGAAGTCGAAGCAGCTGGATTCTTCAAGTCCTGGCGGCCAAACCCCCAGCCTGCCCTTGTCCTGTGTCACCGCCGTTTCTCCCCGTCCCTTCCTCGGGGTGCAGGACCACCTCTTGCGCCCGTGCGTGGGTTCCGTGCCTCCTCGGGAGCCGTGGTCCCCCCGAGTCCTTTCTCCGGACGTGTAGACGCGCTCCAGGATCTGCCGCTTCGACAGCGAGCGCAGGAAGCTGCCCGCTCCCTGTACCTGGCGGCTACGGTTCTCCTCCCCGGGCTTCCCACTCTTCGCTGTCCTCATCTCTCTCTGCTTCTATGTTTCACGGACTCCAAGTCGACCCCCCACCCCCAGGTTCACGCTAACAGTTCTCGCCAATGACCTTTGTGCCCCATAATCCCCCGGACAGTTTCCTCCAGTCCCTGGACATGGGGTCACCATGTCACTGCTCACTCCCGTGCAAGGTGCTCTGGGCCTGGTGCTGGCACCACATCGGCTCTGCCAATGGGAAAGGTGCCCGGTCCTCAGTCCTCGAGAGCCGCCCTCTCCTCGCCCTGCTCCCGTGGGAGGACCTGCCCTGCCCCAGGTCCCCACCGCCCCACAGGGTGGATAGGACTCCCACGTTCCTATCATAAGCTTGAATTCCTGTCTTCTCTGTCCCACGTTTTCCAGTTTTGAGCAAATCAGTGGTGCTGTCATCTGGTCAGAAGCCTGAGGACCATCCTCTTCATCACCGAGGCTTTTCGATTTTAGTCCCAGGTGGTTCTCTTATCTGCCCTCTTGTCCCCATGGCTGCCGTCCTCGCCGTGTCGGAAGGATCCCGCTCCCACCTGAGGGCTCCTGACTTGGCTCTGCCTCTGCTCTGGAACTCCTCCCTCCCCTCTTCCTCCCTCCCTCTCCCCTCCCTCCCCACTCACCCCTGTGATCTCTTCTCTCTGAAATTCTGGCACGTTGCTTAGGAGCCGCTGCACAAACGGCTTCCCTGGATTCCCGAGGTGAGGCCTCCAAACCCTGACCAGGGCGGACAAGGTGCTGAGGACCCTGGGCCCTGCTTCCTCCCCAGCCTGCGCCCTCTGGAGCCCCTGCTCTCTGCGCTGCAGGCCCCGCTGGGGCCCAGGCCCCTCCCGCTGGGGCCCTTGGCCTCGGCCCCTGTGCCCAGGAGGAGATGCTTGGCCTCGGTCCCTCCCAGCCACCTCCTGCCAAGGCTGGGAGGGGGGCTCAGCTCACACGGCGTCCCCGGGATGCCCAAGGCCTGACCGTCGCAAAGCGTGCGTGGAGACGTGGACGCCAGTGGGGAAGCCTTGCCGAGGGCGCCCGTGTGGGAACCAAAGGGGGGAGCTCTGCACCGTGGCCTCTCCAGCACCTCAGGTGCCACGGGGGCTGCTCGGCTCGCTCGCCCGCACTGAGGGGGCGTCTGGCACCCCGGGGGCCCCGGAGGAAACCAAGACGAGCGTGTGAAGACACTGAGCCATCCTGGGAGGAACGCGGATCCTGAGGACCGAGCCCCCGCCTCATCCAGGAAGGCCGGGGGGTGCAGGCCTGCTGAGCAGGACCTCGGAGGGGGATGTGGCCCAGAGGAGAAGGGGGGATGCGGGCAAGGAGGGAGAGGTGGGGGGCTCGGGGGACGGGGGCACCCGGGCTGGCGGCTCTCACCCGGCCTCCTCCACGTTGGGGCATCCTCGGGGCATCCTCTGGCCTGTGTCCTCTGGCCTCGTGGGGACTGTGTGCAGCCCGGCGCGTCCACGTGGCCAGACAGTGCCTGTCGCCCGCGCCCTGAGGCCTGGTGCGGATGGGCCTCGTGTGCTGGGTGTGCAGACGACGGGCTGCAGACGGGCCACCGCCAGTATCTGGTCCTCCCACCGCGGTCACGGGCGTCTCCACCACCAGCTCCTCTGGGTCCGCGCCCGCCACAGGCCCCCGCGCAGGTCATTGGCCCGGGTCCACCTTCATCTCCGACTTCGTGTCTCCTGGTGTCAGGTCCCGCGGTGACGGGCTCCCGGGCTCCCCGGCGACTCTGGATCTCAGGCCCGAGGCCAAGCCCCACGTTAGGCGTGGAGATTGCTTAAACATAGGATCTTGGAAGAAGAGAAGAGTCACCGTAGCTCAGGAGTAGCGTCCCCCTCCCGTTCCTCACCTTCCGCACCTCGTCTGCTCAGCGGCCCCCTGACTGTGGGTTCCCCGGACGCCTCTGCACGGAGGCTGGGCTACTGCTCTGACTTTTGCAGACGGGAAAGTTAAACCCATTGTTAGGTTTGCTTTGGGGACTCTACAGCCAGTGGAGATCAACATTATTTTGATCCCTCCTGACTCAGTGTTTTTCTGACCTGTTGCACTTTTGTAAGTTCGTATTTTAAATTTCAATTCAGTTTTGTAATTATCACCATTGGTGCCTTTTGCAGCATTTTTCCATGAATTCCGTCTTACAGATGTGACTGTTTTCCTATATCCATCACCGATCACCGTTACGTTTTCCTTGTGGCCCGAGGGCCTCCGGCGTGGGTTACTCGCGCGTGCCAGGCCCTGGGCTCAGGAGGGCAAACCTCTGACATCTTTTGGGAATCTGGGGGACCAAAGTCCCAGATACTTTTTTGCTATGACCATGACCTGTTGCCTTAGAGGAGCCCTAGAGGAGCCCGTGGCACAGTGACGGTGCGCTCTTCCCCTGCAGAGAGGATGCCCGGGCCCGAGCTCTGTGCGGGCAGCGTCCAGCCCCGCCCGGCTCTCTTCTCCTCCTGGGCGTCCCTGTCCCGTCGGGGGCATGCCCATGGCCTGCTTGCACTTCTCCCCGCTGACTCGTTCCTGCTTTTTCACCTTCCAGGTCGTGTTTGTAGCCATCTTACTGCACAGTCACCTGGAATGCAGAGAACCGCTGCTCATCCCGATCCTCTCCCTGTACATGGGCGCCCTCGTGCGCTGTACCACCCTGTGCCTGGGCTACTACAAGAACATCCATGACATCATCCCCGACAGGAGCGGCCCGGAGCTGGGGGTACGTCCTTGGAACTCGCCCCGGCCTGCGTGCACGTCCCCGACCCAATGTCCAGCGCTGGGTCGTGTCCAGAGGCAGAGGCAGGTGGAGAGTTAATGGCCTCAGGAGATGGAGGAGGCCTCGGGTTCCCGTGCAGCCTCCTTCCTTCCCTGTCGGGGACGGAGGCGCAGTGGGTCAGGTCAGGCTGAAGAGTAGATACGGCACTTTTGGTTCTTAGCGTCTGTGGCCAAAAGTGAGTCATCCCACATATAAATCAAGAATTTTGCAGCCCACGGTACCTTTAAACCCACTTTGGGTCACACTTTCCGTACCGGCCAGACGCCTTCGCTCCTTCGGGCACCTTCTGGGGGGAGCAGAGCACGGGGGCCTCGTGGGGAGCACAGAGGAACTTAAAATACGGTTTCTACCCTCAGGCAGCTTGTTACAGCCCACCTGGTAGACGAGACCAACACGGGAACAGTGGTCAGACGTGCATGTGCCGGGGGAGTACGGGAGCCCGTGGAGCTCGGGGTGGTGGGGGAGGGTGACAGTGGGGAGACGGAGTGGCCCCGAAGGAGGCAGGGCTTGGCCCGAGCCTCCCAATGGGAGTCAGCGTCCAGCCGGTGCGATCGGCCCGAGCGGCGCGGGCACTTTCTCACCATGAGTGCAAACGGTGTCTGCCTCACGTACGTGCTGCTCGTCTCTGCCCTTGGCACCCGGCATCCCTGGGCTCCGGCTCCGGCTCCTTGCAGCTGTGAGGCCGATGGGCACAGCTCCACGAAGCCCGGGGGGTCAGCACAGCGCCCCGTCCCGCCTCGGACCACACGTTGCCCTCGGCAGGTCAGACCGCTGACCCCCATCCGAGGTCTGTCCAGTTGTCTCTGTCACTACGGCAACCACGTCAGATCTTGAGGGCGACCGTCCGTCTCTGGGGGCTCAGAGGTGGCTGGCGTGATGCCACCGTGTGACTCCGCCCCCGAGGAACCAAAACCAGAGTGAAATCCTACAAGCCAGTTAACGATTGCACAGCTCTTTGCTTTGTAGGATTCTTAATTAATCACTTCCCTTGGCCCTGCTTTTCTTTGCGTGCTGCTGAGCATTCACGTGACTTCTGCTCCAGCCCTGAGGACAAGGCCGTTGCTCGTGGATCTGTATGGTGCCCGGATCATTAGGCGTCTGTGATCTGAGCAGTGATAAAAATAAATTATAATAACATTTTGCTTGTGAGAGGTTCCTCTTCCTGACCCGGCTTCCAGCCAGTCGGTTGGAGACTTAAACACCCATTTGCAGCCGGTCTCCCAGGTCGTGCAGTTGGGCTCTGCCGGGGGGGGCCGCCGTGTCCGGAGAACGGAGGTCTGGCCCCACCAGGCCTCACCTGTGTTTTGGTTCCCCGGCAGCTTGCCAGCTGCCCGAGTTGCCTTCTAACAAGACTGTACGTCTCATTTTTAAAGTCAGGTTGGCTCCGCTGCAGAGGCTTTTCCTTATATTATTTTTAAGTGCAATGAACTGGCTCCTTATTGACCTCAAAAAGAAAAGGCTTTTTGGCTCTGAATTGTTTTTTTCTGCTCTGCTTCGAGAGTTTAGTGAGTTTTATGTGCATGTCTTGACGCAGGGAGATGCGACCATACGGAAGATGCTGAGCTTCTGGTGGCCTTTGGCTCTCATCTTGGCTACACAGAGAATCAGCAGGCCTATCGTCAACCTCTTCGTTTCCCGGGATCTTGGTGGCAGCTCCGCGGCTACAGAGGTAGGGCGGTTTCTGGTGAAGAGTGGGGTGGGGAGGCCTCCGGTTCCTCCGCGGCGTCAAGCCGTGTGACCCGTTCCCACTGAGAAAGAAGCCACGAGGCCTTGACCATGCGCTTGTCTGAGGCTGGAGGGAGACGCCTCCTCCGTTCTTCCCCCGACCAGATGAGGAACCCGGGCAGGGGCCCAGGGTCCGGGATGTGAAGCCGGTGGGGAGCCGGGCTGGGAGTGAGTGCAGATGCTTACGCGGCGCCCCGTGGCCTGTCTCCCCATGGAGCCCGCGTGACGCCGCCTCGCCGTAGAGGCAGAGAGCGAGGACGCCGCCGCAGCCGAAGTGACAGGGCCCAGCCGAGGGCGCCGTGCCTCCCTCTGTCCCGGCCACGCGCCCCTGCTCCTGCCCCGCCTTCCCCTTTGCCAGCCTGCCCTCCCCTAGACGAAGATCCCCATTATTTACCCGCTCACGACTCAAGAGATTTATCTGGAAACTGGCAGCTGCTCCAAAGAAAGAGTTGGATCAGTTTTTCCATCTTCCATTCTGAATAGAGTGACTTCATTTGTTTCCCCCTCCGCTGCCCTCCGGAGATCTGATGCTGTCCCTGGAACTGCTGATCCTTCGGGAAGTCCGGTGGCGGCTCATTAGGGCCTCTGCTCGCACGTGGCCCTTAGCGCGGTGAGCAGTCTGCAGCCTGGGCCTCCTGCCGGTCGCCGCGCGCTGGGAAGCCGCTCGTGTGCCCACAGCAGGATGCTCCCCCCCTCCCCCCAGTCTCTTTCCGGGGTTTGCGTTTTGGATCACGTTTTGGGTGGCTCTGCTCACCCGGCAGCTTTTAGGCGACCGCATCAGTGTAAGCTGCTCAGAAGAAAGTATGTGAGCCTCCTCCCTTGTGTGCGGGAACTCCAGCTTCCCCTTTTAAGAAAGCAAGGTAAACGCTCTCGTAGAGCCATTTCTAGGACCGCAGTGGCCTCGAGGTCAGCAGGCAGGGTGCAGGGCAGACGTGTGCTGACCAGCTACTCCGTGTCTGCCGTTTGTGCCCGTTTCATCGACTCCGGCAAACCTGCGTGACGGATCTTCTTCGCACGCTTGTGCTGGAGGAACCTCCGGGGAGGCTGCGGAGGGCCGCCCCTCCCGGTCCCCAGGCTGGCCTGCAGCTGGCCGGGGCCCGTCACCCGGCGGCACGATCGCTGCGGTGGCTGCACCGGAGGCCGCTCCCTGCCACGTGGCAGGAGCAGCTCCTGGGGACGCCGACGCTAACCGCCGGCTCTTCCTCTTGCAGGCGGTGGCGATTTTGACGGCCACGTACCCCGTGGGCCACATGCCGTACGGCTGGTTGACGGAGATCCGTGCTGTCTACCCTGCTTTTGACAAGGTGAGAACCCGTACGCTGTCGCGTCTCAAACACCGTCTTTAAAATCAGCTTCTGACACACAAGTGTCTCCGCTCTGAGGTTTCCCGGTTCCACCTCCCTGTGAGCTTCCTGGGCAGGGAGCGGAATCCGACCTAGCCGTGCAATATTTTCCTCCAAAGATAACGGAGGTGACTAAGCTTACCTTGATGCCGATTCTCTAACGCCCTCCGATCCATATTCACTTTTGGGTTTATTCCTATTGAGAAATCATTATTTTTTTTTTTTTTGCAAAGGGAAGATATACTCTCAAATGTTATTACCCTGGTTATTGTTTCTGTGGTTTGTTATTTTTTTTAATTAAACGAATGCTTTGCTGCCCTCACAGCAGATGCAAAGGTACAGACGGGCTTGTGCTCTTGAGCTCCTAAGCTTCTGGATGGGTCTACCCCATGGACCCTGAAGCTGTCTGCTCCAGCTCAGTCTGGACGCCGCAGACCTGGTCCAGCTGCAAGCTCTGTCCTCCGGCAGCTGCTGGCCGCGCCTCGGCAGGCACCTAACCCTTCAGACCCGTAGCCTGCGGCTCGCTGGGGACTGTCCTACCAGTCACTGAATTAGTGGCGATTTCATTAAAGCCTAATTACTTGAGCCTGTCGACCTTCATAGACGACACACCCTCCCCCAGAGATGTATACAGGTTTTTTTAAAGATTTAATAACTTAGAGAGAGAGCAGCGACATGGGGAGGGAGAGAAACTCAAGCTGACTCTGTGCTCATCCTGGAGCCTGCTCAGCTCTCGATCCCGGGACCCTGAGAGCGTGACCTGCGCGGAAACCAAGAGTCAGACGCTGAACCGACTGTGCCACCCGAAGCCCCTGTACAATGACGTGAAAATGAAAAATGAAAAACGGGGGAGCGCCCGGGAGGCTCGGTCACGTACGCGTCGTCCTCCCGCTCAGGTCATGACCCCAGGGCCCCACGTCCGGCTCCCTGCTCAGCTCAGCGGGGCCCTGCTTCTCCCCGTTGGCTCTGCCCCTCCCCTCGCGCATCACCTCTCTCTCAAGTAAGTGAAGAAAATCCTTTGAAAAATAAAACGAAATGAAAAAAACAGTAAAAGAAGCACACAAGCTGCCACTTGTGCTTTAAATAGCAGTTCTTTTGCCTTGAATTTCTTCGGCAGCGGCTCGGAGCTGCTTCATCTGCCGGGGTTCCCAGTACAGAGGCCGCCTCTCCTCGCGGCCCAGGGCTCTCGTGGGGATCAGATAAGACGGTATCAGCAGGTGAAGCCGGCAGCTCGGGCAGGGTGGCCCTGCAGGTGACAGCGGGCCTGCCCCCCCCCCACTGGACCGGCTCCCAGACCCGCGGGGGCGCAGGACGGCCTGGAGGCCCCACAGGCAGGCCCGGCCTCAGCCTGAGCTTCCAGCTCTTCACACCCGTAGCTGCTTGTGGGCTCTGGGGAGGGCAGGGCCTATGCAGTGGGGCCCAGAAAGGTGTCCTGGCCACCTGCTCCCACCCAGGACACTCCCAGGCACCTCTGACGGTGGTGACGTGGGGCCGAGGCTCAGGCCTGGGAAGACAGCGGCCACCATGGGTCCACCCCCTCGCTGTGCCCCGGCGGACCCGGGCGCACACACACCCTGTCACATGTCCCCATCTGTGACGTCCCTCCACACCCTGCAGCCCCCACGCGGCTCTCCTGTCACTGTCGCCCGCCCCTTCCCCTCCTGTCACTCACCCGCCCCTTCCCCTCCCATCACTCTCACCCGCCCCTTCCCCTCCCATCACTCTCACCGGCCCCGTCTTCCCACACTCGCCCGTGAACGGCGGGGGCTCACTCAGGATTCCCACCCTGCTGCCTAACGTGAGACAGGGCTGCGGCGTTGCCCTGAGCTCTCTGCTGGAAGTCCGTGGCACTTCCCCAGGACACAGGTAGTGGAACCCACCACCCGTCCCAAACACCAGCCACGTCAGGGATGCACAGCGTCTTGTGAAAACTGCTCCGGCCTTTGGGAGCAAACCGGAGAAGGCATGAGTGGCTTGCAGGACACTTGTCTCCTTGCAGTTCTTGTTTGAGCAAGTTTAATCCAATCTACTGAGAGAAATCGCTATTTTGGTTTTAAGGAATGTACGTATAGAAGTGAATCCTAGAAAACCAAAATGATTATAAGTTTTCTTGCTAAAAAAAAAAAAAAATTTCTTGCTCAATTTCTAGCTCTTGGAGAACCATATTGTACAACAGAACTTGAGGAGCACAGCAGGGACCCAAGTGTTAGGACCTCCTGGCTGGGAAGGTCAAATCTAGAATTTTCCTGGCTCCCTCGAAACAACAGTAGAACACTCTACAGTTTCCCTGGAGCATCCAAGAAAAACCTGGGTTCATGCGGGGTCACAGAGGTTAGGTGCTGACAGACCCCTTTAAGGAGCGTACCTCTCGCCAGCCACTGGGGCGACTCGGAACCCTCTGGAGCCTCCCTCATTGTTTCCAGGCATTCCAGGGAGCTCCTCCAAGCCATTCGCGTGAATGCCGTCTATTCACCCAAATCTGAGACACCTCCGTGTGGACTTGCAGAATTTGCTGCATTGACAGTTGCAGTCCTTAGTCTCATTGTGGCTCCAGAATAGGAGAGTTAGCATTTCTTGCATAGCTTCTGGTGGCCGCTGCTGAATACTGACTGGGAGCGCTGTCACTGGCACGGAGTCTCCGATGTTCGGTCGCCGTCCCCGCGAGGGTGTAACCCTATGCAGATCGGGCAAACGCAAGGCGACGAGGTGCCGGCCCCATGGCCCTGCTAGCAGATTCCAGCCACGCCAGGAGAAACCGTTGCGTTGTCAGAGTGGAAGCCCCCGACGGCGCCGCGGCCCCCCACCCGCCAGGCGGGAGTGCTGGGAGGTTGGCTGACTCCTCGGGGTGCCCACCCGGCGCCTCCCGCGGATCCCGCGGTAGGAAGGACAGAGACGGGCCCCACGGGGACTCGCACTTGGCTGGCACCTGCCCCTCTTCCCCTCCTGTCACTGTCCCCTGCCCCTCTTCCTGCACTCGCCTGTGAACGGCGGCTGTGGCAGCAAAATCTGTTATTCAGGAAACAGATCTGCTTTAGAGGCTGGAATTAAGGAATCACGGCCTCAGCCTGAGTTTGTGCTGGCGGCATCTCGGGGAAGGGATTTGCGAGGTCGCCACGGCCTCCAAAGTGAAGGAGCCGTCAAAAGCTGTTTCCGAGTGGAGCCTGCAGTCGCTCTGCTCAGGTGACTTCCGCTCAGGTGGACGCCAGCCAGGTGCTCGGGGGCCGCCTCTGGGCCCGGTGGGATCTGTCCGGGGGCAGGGGGCCCTTCATTCACTGGTTTTCAAGGTGGGGCCAGGCCCTGGTGAGATCAGGTGAGGGGCAGCACGGCAGGCGCTGGGATGGTCTTGGGGCCTCGGGATGTGCAGGAGGACGTTGGCGCTGTCTGCACAATTTGCTTAAAATGGAGTTTAATGGGGCGCCCAGGGGGCTCAGCGGCAGAGCGCCTGCCTCGGGCCCAGGGCGTGACCCCGGGGTCCGGGGATCGAGTCCCAAGTCGGGCTCCCTGCATGGAGCCTGCTTCTCCCTCGGCCTGGGTCTCTGCCCCTCTCTATCTCTGTGTCTCTCAGGAATAAATAAATAAAATCTTAAAAAATAAGTGTAACACAGATTGCACCCTCTCCAGTCAAGAAGGATTGTGCTGATTTGTGGAGTGAAAGGGGAGGGCGAGGCGCACAGTCCTTAGTCTCAGAGAGCCAGTGGTCACCTCACGGCCTCCACGTGTGCCCCGCGGGCACGTGCACCCCCAGAGGGCCCCAGGGCCCCCCAGGATGGCGGGAGGCGGGGCCCCTGGGGCGCTTGGGAGTACGGTCAGCCGGCCCGTGAGGAACGGATGGGCCGTGCCAGGGATGGGCCCTGAAGACGGGGTTTTGAGAATCAGGAGCCCCAGCGAGAACGGGGGGAGCAACAGTGCAGAAACCTGAGAACCCCAGGTGTGTCGGGAAGAGCAGGTCTTGTCTGGGACAGGAGTGGAGGAGTCTGGTCGGGGCCGAGGATGCCACTCAGCTTGTCGCCGCTGCGGGAGGCCAGGGCCGCGGGCCCCGTTCATGTCCGCGCGCCTCCGGAGCTTCCTCTGGCCCACGGTCACCTCCAGGGACCCGGCAGCTGCCTGAGACGGACAGAGGGACAGCCGTCTGCCCAGCCGCCGGGCGACGTGTGTCCTTCGGCGCATCACAGGGCACTGAGGATGCTTTCCACACGGCCGCGGGGTCAGCCAAGGGTAACCTCCGTCCTCCTCTTTCCCCCAGAACAACCCCAGCAATAAGCTGGTGAGCGCGAGCAGCACGGTGACCGCCGCCCACATCAAGAAGTTCACGTTTGTGTGCATGGCCTTGTCGCTCACGGTAAGGAGACGCCAACCCCCCCCCCCCGCGCCCCGTGTTTCTGGAAGGGGAGGGGCCATCCTCAGGGACACGTGTCGTACTCCACACTGCGATGGCCTGTGGGTTCCACGCACAACCTCTTGAGAACATTTTTGTCCCAAAATAGGAACAGTAGCTCCTTAAGACGGTCACTGAGTCGGGGAACGAAGGGTGGACACCGGCAATTCCCGGGACTTGTCACTCTCCGGGGAAAGGCCGCCCTTGCCTTTCCCTGTAGTAACAGGCCTGTCGTCCTGAGTAACTGCGGACCCGTTTAAGCATCAGGGTCGAGTGTAGAAACCCCAGCCCCGCCTCAGTGGCCGCAGCGGAGGCCCCTTTCCTGACCACGCTGCGCAGCCGCTGTGTCCTGTCTCCCCGGCGCCCGGCATGTGCGGATCCGGCCCCCGCTCGTCCCGGCCCTGTGCCACCCCCCGCATCCAGCCGCAGGCCACCGTGCCGCGCGCGTCCTCCCCGCCAGCCCCCACGGTGCTCCAGCGTGGGATGTAGGGAACAAGCACATAGGCACTCAGGAAGCCAAAGCGCGGGGGCATGTGTGCGTAGGGAGAGCACGTACGACGCGGCTTGCATGTGCATCTGTGCCCTTGAGCTCTGAAGGTGGAGATGAGCAGGAGGTAAACAAAAATGTGGATTTCTTAAAATATTGTATTTCGGGGCGCCCGGGGGGCTGTGCAGAGGAGCGTCTGCCTTGGGCCCAGGGCGTGACCCCAGGGTCCCGGGATCGAGTCCTGCATCGGGCTCCCTGCATGGAGCCTGCTTCTCCCTCTGCCTGGGTCTCTGCCTCTCTCTGGGTCTCATGAATAAATAAATACGGTCCTTGAAAAAAGATGGTATTTATTTATCTAGAGCACATTCAAGCAGGGGAAGGAGCAAGGAGGGGAGGGGGAGAGACACAGAGAGAGAATCCCACGTGGACCCCCTGCTGAGCACGAGTCTGACAGCCCGGGGATCGGGGATCGGGGATCCATCTCATGACCCGAGGTCGCGCCCTGAGCGGAAATCAACAGGCCGACACCCAGTCCACTGAGCGACCCCGCTGCCCTGAGATGTGGGTCTTTTGAACTCTGTTCAGTCTTCTTGATGGCTGTCGTGGCTCCGCATTTCCTATTAAGTCCTGTAGAAATTCTCCGTTTTATAAAGCGCAAGGATGTTGCAGAAATGCCTGGGCTGCGCGGCTCTGGGCATCCAGGGCCTGGCCGAAGGGCTGGGCGCGCGGAGAGGTGCCGCGGCTCTAGCCCCGCCCTGTCCTCACAAGCGTTTGGCCTGCTGCGCCCGGCCGTGGTCCTTCAAATCAAGCCCCACACACGTTTTAAACCCTCAGTGGGTGTTTTTCCAAAGCCCACAGCGGGACATTTGATCCGCGGATCCCGCACCTGAACAGACTGTGACAAGGGCAGCTCAAGACGAGTAGCCGTCTGCTCGCACATCACGACCCCACGTCCTCAGCCGCCCCTTCGCCCCAACCTGCCTCTGTCGTGGGAGCGGGGACGGGTGTCGGGAACGTGTCTCAGCACCACGTCACCGAGGAGGAATTCCTGATAGCGTGTGTGTGGGGGGGGGCAGGTTACCCCGGGCAACCCTGCTCCCCTCCGTGTGTTATTTCTCTACGGCGTGCAAGTTTTTCCATAGTTTCCTAAAATATTAGGAAAACATTGAGCAACCTTGAAACGGTTTAAAAGAGGATTTTAGGAAAAGCAGAGAAGGTTTCTATTCCAGGAACAGATCTCAGCCTTTGGAGACCATGTGAAGCGATGGCAAGTCCAAAGTTGAGTTGGACCCAACGCCAGGGCCTGCGACTTGGAGCTCAGCCCTCGCTGGAAGCTGGAAGCCCTCGGGTGTCACTGGCTCTGCGGTCCAGGGTCTGCCCAGTGGAGTCGGACGGAGGACAGGGGCAGCCGGGGCGTGAGGCCGCCCCCCGTCGGTGCCCGGGTGCTGACCTGTGCCTGAGACCAGAGCTGCCGCCTTCGTGGGCATGATGATGCTTGAGAAGAGTGGTCCATGTCCACGGACAGGCTGTATTTATTTCATCATCCTAATCCCGTCGTCCTTCCTGTAACTGGAAGTATATCAGGGGAGGTTTGCACCAGACAAATGGAGGCACAGAGTCTTCGTTGGGGAGAGACTGCAGTCGAGGGAGGCAGAACTCTTAATTTCTCTCTTTTTTTTTTTTTGAAGATTTTATGAATTTATTCCTGGGAGACCCAGAGAAAGGCAGAGACACAGGCAGAGGGAGAAGCAGGCTTCATGCAGGGAGCCTGATGGGGGACTCGATCCCGGGACCCCGGGGTCACGCCCTGGGCTGAAGGCAAATGCTCAGCGCTGAGACCCCTGGGGGCCCCAAACCTTTAATTTCTTAGGAAGGGGGAAAGGACTCGGGATCGGTGACTCACCGAGCACCTGTCATAGAACAAGCCGGATGCCAGGGCTTCCAGGCCCACCCTCCAGGCCCATTAGTCCAAACTGTGCTGCTCCCGGCAAGGAGGAAGGGCTGCCCGGCCCTGAGCCCCCGGAGCTGGGCGCCCTGCTTGCAACGGCACTTTCCTTAACACTAAAAATGTGGAATTTGAGTTTGCAGCTAATGAAGTACGTTATCCTCATACACATTATCCTTACGCTTCAGTCAGTTGGTCCAACATCTTGGCTACGGGAAGTATCCTTAAAGCACAGGGAAAAGGGACCCCTGGGGGCTCAGTGGTTGAGCGTCTGCCTTGGGCCCAGGACGTGACCCCGGGGTCCCGGGATCGGGTCCCCCATCAGGCTCCCTGCATGGAGCCTGCTTCTCCCTCTGCCTGGGTCTCTGCCTCCCTCTCTTTCTGTGTCTCTCATGAATAAATAAATAAAATATTTAAAAAGAAAAAAAACACAGTAAAGTAAGCAACAGTTTTTTAAAGATTGTTTATTTGAGAGAGAGCATGAGAGCGCGAGCAGGGGAGGGGGAGACGCAGCCCCGCTGAGCAGGAGCCTGACTCGGGGCGGCCCAGGACCTGAGACCGGGACCCGAGCTGAAGGCCGACGCTTAGCTGGGAGCCACCCGGGGGCCCGGAAGCGACTTTATTTAAACTGAAGCATAACCGACACACAGCGCGGCATCCGTTTTAGGCGTAGGGTTTGTTCCTGGTTTTTCTTTCCTAAATTAAACGTCAGGCCGTCACCCTAAGGTGCACGTTCCTTCCTGTGCCACTGCCCATACGCCGCATGCACGTGTGGCGCCCCTTGGCGGCTCTGGCGCTCGGGTCTGGGTCTGCGGGGTCGTCCCCTGGACCCAGAAGGTGACGCCGCGCTGCCGTCCAGGCTGCCCCCCAAGTCGGCCGCCGGCCCCAGCCTGGCTGAACCGCAGCCCCCGCCTTACGTCCCGCTCATCCCACTTCCACAGCCTCCAAGGCGCCCGTTACTTGGAGTCCAGGTTTGTTTTTGTGGCTTTAAAACTTCTCCGCGTCGGGGGCCCCGGACAGAGCCGCCGAGGCCGCGTCACCCGGGCCTCGTACACCGTCGGGAGCGCCGCTCCCAGGGCGCTGGCTCTTGTCCTGGGCGGGTGACAGGCCGCACATTCCGCGGCCGCCGTGACCCAGGTGACCCAGGAACGAGGACGGCTTCTCGGGGGAGCGGGTGCTGCCAGAAGTGCTGGGCCCCTCCCTCGGGCGGCCGTGCCGGGTCACCAGCCGGCCTGTGGGGCTGCCTGGGCTGTGCTGGGGCCGCTGTGGCCGGGGAGCCTGACGCTCCCTGGGAAAGACGGCGTCGTCAAGTCGGAGGCAACGTCCTCCTGCGTCCGGGCTCTTCCCGCGCTCTCAGCCAGGGCTTTTACTTCGAGAAAGGCCTCAGATGCCCCTGGGGGCAGGAGGCGGAGAGCGGGCAGCAGCCACGTCCGTTTGCACCTCCTGGGCCTCCAAGCAGCACCCATTGGTGGCTGCTGATGGCGGGGGGCTCGGGGAGCCGGGGAGCAGTCCAGAACGGGGGACCATCGCCCCAGGTGATCCGTCCCCTCCGTGCCAGGGAAGGAGCGGCCACGGCGCTGTTTGCAGTAAAGGGACACCGGGTGGAACAGACAGGCTCCAGGGCCCAGCGGTGCAGCGGCTGCCTCAGGCCCAGGGTGGGACCCCGGGGTCCCGGGATCGAGTCCCGCCGTGTCGGACTCCCCGCAGGGAGCTGCCTCTCCCTCTGCTTGGGTCCCAGCCTCTCTGGGTCTCTCATGAATGAATACATAAAATCTTTAAAAATAAGCAGTTTAAGATGTGGAAGAAGGGCTTCAGGTCTGGGCTGCACCGGAGAGCGTGCTGCGGTGGCCCCGAGCGGTCCGGACCCGAGCTGTCCCAGCCCCAAGGGGTCCCAGCCCCGAGGGGTCCCAGCCCCGGGGGGCAGGGCTGCCAGGCTGAGCTGGGGCTGCCGTCCCAACAAACGGCCAGTCCTGCCCGAACCTCCCGCTGGAGCCCCGGGTGCCCCCGCTGTGTGATGGGCCGCAAGGCGGTGATGATTACCGAGGGCCGCTCCCCCAGCAGACCCCGGGGCGGGGGTGCCAGGCTGGCCGGCAGGAGGCGGGAGCAGCACCCCTCCTCTCGCAGGAAAGCGCTGCTACGGCCGAGGTGCAGAGCCTCAGCCTCCCGTCAGCCCGTCGGTTCACCACGACGTGGGCCTGGATTCAAGCCTCGGAGGCAGACGGAACCACCAGCCAGCGCAGGACGTGTCTTATCAACGGTCCTTCTGATGAGGAAGAAGTGTCCCCAAGAGATAAGGGACCTGCCACTCTGGGTGCTGGGCCAGGCTGGTGCGGCCAAGGGACCGGCTCGCTCAGTCCACCAAACTGCCGATCTACTCCAAACTAGAAATAGTTTTTTAGACTATTTCTAAAGTTCACAGCAAATCAGATTAAACAGGGAGATCTTAACGTCGACGGATATTAGTCGACCCATTTCCATTTTGACTCCACTGTAGCACTTTAAGGACACGCGGTATTTCCTTAAGCTCTTTTC